TAAACACATAAAATGTTTAACATGAAAAGATATAGAGAAAAAATCGATTTATATTATACCAGGAGTAATCAATGAACGACAGATACCATTGAACGTCTAAAGAGTAAAAAAGGGAACGTTTTGATTAAACGGTTCATTGACCTCGATTTTAGTTGTGATTTCTTCATCGCCGCTAAATTTTTATTCTTACTGTTAAAACTTTCTAACAATTGCTGTCATTTTTTACGGCACGAGCCCACAACTATATATATATATATCCTTCTCAGCCTGTCAAATATCTATCTATCTATCTATCTATCTATCTATCTATCTATCTGTCTGTGTACATGCATTGAGTATGTGTATTGATAGATCAGGAGTATACTTATTTCAATGACTTGATGGCAAATTTACTTGCATATTTTTAATCCGGTACCAGTGTTCAAGCCGAGAGAAACGTAAAGAATGCCGATTTTCGGAACAGAGAGGCCACCACTTAATCCTCTTTTGCGTCTCTTTGACAGACCAAACTAATCTCGGTAATATCGAGATATATCTGATTGTAAATACCCAAATATAAACAAAGAAACTGAAATACATCGACACACGCACACACACACACACACACACATAAACATATATATATATATATATATATATATATATATATGCTATTAACAAGCAGAATTTTTTTCTCCTAAAAATGGCCATGAAGAGGAATCTAATTGAAATAATAAAAAATATAAAATCCAGTGAGTCTGAAAATGTTTATCTTTAATTTCTCAATATTTTTATTGTTCAAAACAAACAAACAAACACACACACACACACACATATATATATATATATATATATATATATATGTGTGTGTGTGTGTCTATGTGTGTGTGTATGCGTGGATACACGTATATATAAGTACTTACTTGCAGCCTGATTTACATCGAATTAAACCAATGGTACGGAGGCAAATATGAATGTAATACAACATTTCACGCATAAAACGAGAACATAATTATTAATAGGATTAAAAATCTGTTCCTTCAGAATTTCTGGTCATTAGTGGATGAAAATCTTAAAAAAAAATATTTTCGGGTTTCATAAATTCATTATATTAAAGAAAACGTTCACGTACATAAATTTAACTCAATCTGTGATACTTATGGAAAATATGAAAACTACTATTTCACATAGGTTCCCTATATTTTAAAGTTTTTAACCGAAAGCGAAGGCACGTCACTTGTTTGTTCAATATGCTCGCTGGAATTTGTATATAAGTGTGATACTCTCTGAAAATGCTAAAAACAGTCTTTTCTCGTGATTCTCATCTTTTTAGATATTTTGGCGTATATATATTTTTTTTAATATCTGTTAAAATGTAACTGGATCTATATAGCACCCTGCTAAATTGGAAACACATTTTCTTTCAGAGTTTTAATTAATTTTAAACAATTTGGGTGAAAGATGATTTGGAAGAAACATTTTTCGTGTAACACACAATCAAAATTTATCTGAACCATAATATTTTTCTATTCGGCAATTTTCTATTAAATTAAAACTTATTGCTTGCTATTAAAGATGTTTATTCTTTGCAACCAAATCGATTTTATATCTGGTAGAATTTGCCTTAGATAGATAGATAGATAGATAGATAGATAGATAGATAGATAGATAGATAGATAGATAGATAGATAGATACGAACAGATTAAGAGAAATACATGTATACTCTAATTCAGCAACACACGATAATTACGTGATAAGAATACACGCAGTTTTGAATAACCATATACACATCTATTCGTATATTAACCAAAAATAAATACCTAGTATACACACCCAAACATATACACAAATAAGTACATATTCATCTACAAATTTATGCATAAAAGTTCTCGTTTATACCCACTCACACTTGTACACAACTAAATATCAATATACACAATGCAATAGCAAAGAGCTACAAACGAACACATACATACGAGTAAAATAACGTACACGCGTATACATAAAGTGTACATATATACAGAAACATATATACACAAACATGAGTAAGAGAAAGACAGCGCATTCTTTCTTCTATAAAGCCAACATGGTACGATCCGTGTCTAGCCGGTAGTCCACTACGCATGCGCACACAAATGGCTTTCTGGATGTCAAACGGAAAAGCCGATTGTTCGCGAGTCATGTATATGTTGAACCGAACCGGCGCCGTCCAAGAGGCTCACATCACCATGATCAAAAAGCGTGTAATCCTCTCACCCCAACACCCAACCCGACCCTTGTTGCACCCCCACACCCTTCCCAGATACATGCAGTAGAAACTGCTTCTTGATGCATTGGGATGTATTTGACTCTTAATGTTCAGGGGTAGGGTGGATAGGCGGGAGGACATGCCCGAATTTTATGTCAAACATAGCGGAGAGGAAAGGGTCAAAAAGGTAGTAATACGGAGCGAGTTGAGATGAAGTAGGGTTAGGAGGGAGATGGATTGTGGGTGAGAGAGATTGTAAATTCAAGGAATCGTTTGTACAAGAAGGATTGGAAAGAAAAAGAAGACGAGAAAGAAAGAAAGAAAGAAAGAAAGAAAGAAAGAAAGAAAGAAAGAAAGAAAAAGAAAGAAAATTCGAGAAATAACGATGGAGAAAAGAAACAAAAAAGAAATGAGAAGAAATCCCAAAAAACTGAAAGAATAAAAAAAATTAAAGAAAATATAGAATGTGAGGCGTAGAAAAAAGTAAAAAGAATAACGCTTAAATCAATTTTAACAAAGACTTTTATCAAAGGATGAGGATCGCAGAAAGGCAAACAATTAAACAATGAAAACATGAATAAAAAAACGTGAAAACAGAAGGAAAACTATTTGAATTGAAAAATAACAAGCATGAAAATCAAAATTAAATTGTGTAGCATAATTTTAATTGTCCTTCATTCGCGTTATTATACTTTGTGCCAAATACACAGTTGTCTGCTACTTCGTTGAAATCGGGCAAGGCTTGATCGATCCAAAAGTCCTGATTTATGCAATACACACAGCAGACTGAAAAGAAAGAAAGACAAAAAATACATTACGAAACAAAACTCTGCATCTGTATTTCAATATTCTTCGAAAACTTTTTCTTCTAATTGAAATCGGTTTCCGGGTGATCAGATCCACTACATTCTCCAACGCGATATCTTTTACACACACACACACATTTTTCATTACACACACACACACACACACACACACACACACACACACACACACACACACACATATATATATATATATATATATATATATATATATATATATATATATAAACGGATTGAGACAGACAGACAGACATATAAAGAAATCTAAAGTCCCATTTATCTGATTTACCTGACCTTGATGAGCCGTGTATCTTCGAAACTTGAATCAGATAGATAAGTCATTCAAACTTTTCTTTTTATATTAGCGATTGTTAGTCTTTATTTGTATTCAGTCGAGCTAGCTCGGACATTTGTGTCTATCATGGTCTTGCATGGATGTCGGGAGGTCATTTAGGTGGCATTCTGTGTCATAACATAGCTGGTCAATGTAGGTGGTTGCTGTGCGATCAAGCCGGTCTTCCGCGCCATGGCTATAGGTGCCCACAGCATTAGATCACTCACAAGTTCTTGTTTTACGCGCCAACAACATTGTTCTGCAAAGCCTATTAAGCGTTAAACTCTCGTAATTTACGGTATTATATATTTTGTTAGCTCTTAACGATCTGTGTTTATATATATATATATATATATATATATATATGCCCGACCATTTGTGAGTAAAAAAAATGTTGTTTCCCTGATGAAAAAAGGGATGCATATTCGATTCCTTAGTGTGACTTCACAATTTCGGCCAGCTGTTACTAATTTCACTGTTTAATAAAATAAAAATCAGGAGTAGCATATCAAACACGTGTATCCAGTAAAATATCGTTTATAGTAATAAGAAACATATAAGGTATATATGAGTGTGTGTGTGTGTGTTTTGTGTGCGCGCGCGTGTGTGTGTGTGCGCGCGCGAGAAAGAGAGAAAGAAAGTGGGAGAGAGAGGGAGGAAAGAAAGGGCAACACAGTACTTCAAAATCACCTTTGTGTAGAAATAATGGTGTCAAAGAATTCTCATGCCCTTTGAGAGATAATCTCTATAACACTAATTTGACACTTATCTCAGATCAACTTGTACACATATCGATCAACGCATCACAAATAGCCATAGTACAAGTATTTAACTAAAATTAATATTAATAGATATTTACTACGCATTAATAAAAACTTAAATACTTTATAAAACCAATTGTAAAGAAAGATAGAAAATACCTGAAGCTTTTATTAAAGAAACGAAAAAACCGAAACTAAACACCAAACTAAACTTTCGCCACAAGAGATGCCATTTTAAAATATATTTAAAAATTAAAAATGTATATACCCCTACATATAGTTGCAAATCATTCTACACATGAGGGAACTTGTATCCAATACATGCATAATTAAATCAGAATTATAGCATTTTTTTAAAGAAATGCCAGGTTGAAATTAATCAAAATATTTCTCTGTTACAATGGACAGCATTTAGCGTTCTTGGTAATGACTACAAACGGTCGAAAGTAGTCGAACAAAAATATTATGAACATTGGAAGGGTTTTTCACAAATCTAAGTTTGATGTGCGACAACTTATACAAACTTGTGTAAACTGGAAAAATATAATAAAATCCTGAACAGATATACTTTGTCAGTTGAGATTAATAAAACATGACTGAATGAATTCGTACTACCTAATTATAAGTCATTTAGATGTATACATGTAGTCGATAGTTTCCAAGCTCTAAAAATTAGAAAGAAAGAATTAATAGTGTATACACATATATGCACATATATCTGAAAATCTGAATCCGTCTTCTGCAATATATATATATATATATATATATAGGAAGCATTCGGTTGTCTAGTCGCATTGATGAGCTGTGATACAGCGAAACAGGCCTGTATGCGAATGACACTATATATATATAATCAGATAGATAGATAGATAGATAGATAGATAGATAGATAGATAGATGTGATCAGATTAAGAAAAATACACTGATTCAGCAAAAAACGACAATTACGTGCATACAGATGAATAACCATATATTCGAATATTGGTAAACATGAAAACATATTATAAACACCCAGACATACACAAATACTAACGTATTCTTCTCCATATTTATACATAAATGTTCACGTTCATGTAAAAGTGTGAGTATGTGGTTTTGTGTGTATGCATACGCACAAAACCACATACTCACACTTTTACATAACTCTGAATATCATTATATACATACAATGATATCTAAGTACAAACGAATACATACACACACTTGAATGAACACGCACACACACCTATACATAAAGTATACAAATATATTTACACAACCATAAATAAGAGAATATCGGCGCTTTCTTTCTTTTATAAACCCATGTTTAATAGATAAATAGATAATTCAGTAAAGTCATTTTCGCAAAACTATATATATATATAGTAGTGTGCCCGTGCAATTGTTAGAATGTTTTAACTGTAAGAATAACAATTAACAATTTAGCGGAGATAAAAGAAATCACAACTAAAAATGGAGATCGATCGATCGATCGATAGATAGATAGATAGATATAAACATGGACGAAATGATATATAAATGCATATATATGTGCTCGCATGTAAGACGACCCCCATTTAATTTAAACGGATATGTTTGCACGATGCAAATAAATAATTAGACAGCTTTTTTCTCCCTCATGTCAACAGGCTCACTTTAAGGCCTTTGTTATTTCTTCTAACAATGCTGATGCTTGCGTGGTGATTAGAAAAAAAAAACTGAAAGTTAAAGTGATGATCCTTTCTTTGTCTCTCCCCTTACAGATTTATTACCTAAGAACATTCTGAGTGAAGTCGTGTTTTCATACAGAGCATCTGTGCAACAGCCAAGTGTTGGTAGATAACTTACCCGTATTTGTCCGGTGCTTGCTGAAAAGTCAACCCAACGCCGGCCGGACTACCGTTGTCAGAAATGATGTATTGTCACGTCAACAGGCTGATGACATGATCAGTACTGAACGAGTCCCGTGTTTTGCTGTTTACTCAATGTAGAAGTTATGGCGAGTTCTCTATTCGTGATGTTGAGTAGCACTCGTTAATTGAAGAGTTATCAGCTCGTCAAGATGTCAGCAAATATTTGAACAGAAAGTAGGAAAGAGCGAAAAAGAAAACGAGGAAAAAGGAAGGGAAGGGAGGAAATAAAGCGGGGAAAGAAAGATAGAAAAATAGATTGGGCTAAAAAAAAAAAAGAAATAGAAAAATATGACAAGAGAGAAAAAGGATAAAGAAAGAAAGGATAAAGGAAAATTAAAAGGAAGATACAACACGGAAAAAATATAGAAATATTAATGAAAAAAAGAATAAGCAAGAAACGAATAAAAGAAGAAAAGGAAAAAGAAAATAAGACAAAAATAGAGGGAAAATAAGAAAAATGAGCAGAAGAAAGAAAGAAAAGAAAGAAAGAAAGAAAGAAAGAAAGAAAGAAAGAAAGAAAGAAAGAAAGAATAATGAAAACAAAGGAAGTGGGGGAAAGAAACGAATTTCAATAGAAAAAATCACGAAGAAAAAGAAAAGAAATGGGAAAATTAATGGAAAATGAAAGAAAGAAAGAAAGAAAGAAAGAAAGAAAAAAAGAAAGAAAAAAAGAAAAAAAGAAAGAAAGAAATGCTCTCTGTTTATAATGATCAACTTTGTAATAAAAACCTACTCTCTAATAATAACAACATCAACCGTCTGTACCCCTCAGTGTAGATGAACTATTGGCAAAGCCAAGATCTATAATAAAAAAAATAAAGGAAAAATGTCAAAGATAATCTGATTATATTTACTTTCTTTTTCCTGCTGTTCTACAAACTTCTCTAGCTTTACCACTCTCTTTTTCATCAATTCCTTCCTCTTTCACTCTCTTCTTCACTCTCTTCTTGATTGCTTGACATATTCACAATTCTTCTTCTTCTTCTAAATAACACTAACACTTCGTTTAGACTCATTTCCTTCATCATTGAATTTCTTTCTTTCTCTGTCTCTATAATTGTCTCTTCTTCCTCTCTCATTCACGCTCCGCTTTCAATAATTTATCTTACTTTTCCCTCTTTTTTTTTATTTATCCTTTCATTTTCTTTTTTCTTCTCTAGCTACCTCTTCTTCTTCGTTCACTGGCCCACTGTAACGGTCGCTCGACGTCTGGAGTGCAATTCTATCCGCTTTCCGTGTTTGTTCACCATTACACGTTATGTTTTGGTTCCTTCGATACGAGAGGCTGGCTAATCGAATTAAAACTGACAGTGAACGGTCGGTGGAAGGTGCAAATCGATAAATAGGCAAGGGAAAAGGATAGAGGCGAAACATAAAGAATGAAAAAAATAAAATAGATTGTCAATCAACGGGACACTTTTTTTTGTTCTGTTCGCATGAAGACAAGGAAAAATAACATAGCATTAATTCATAAAATTTAATTCCGCAATAATGAAAACTGACTCAGTTGAGTGACACTATTACCAATTCGGTCACCGAGCTTTTGAGTTTTACGGTAATATTATGATAGATAGATAGATAGATAGATAGATAGATAGATAGATAGATAGATAGATAACAAATAGGAAACGTTTATCGATCTAACATGTTTCGCTTGGTTAAAGCTTTATCAGAGAATGAAATATGGAGAAAAAGATATTAACATTTTTTCTTTTGTTTTGTTTGATTTTCATTGATTACACAGGCTTCGCGTGCATTTAACTTGTTAAGCAGTGTTCGTGTGTCTAATTTTTGGCGTTCCGAACTCAAGGAGAAATTAAGCGTTTTTTCGAAGCTCCAAAATGAAAAAAAAAACAACATAAATACTGCTTTATTTATGCAAGTGTATCATAATTCTAGTTAGTCTATGTGGGATTCGGATGATAATGTAAATTCGTAAGTGTAAGTGTATGTGAGAGAGAGTCTTTATGTTTGGAGGTTGTCCTCTTGTTGAATTGGGGACGTTTTTACGCAAACACCGGTTGTAGTAGATAGACATACGTTAGATTCTTTAAAAATGAATTTCATAAATGTTGGTGAATTAATATAGGGTTTTTGATGTGTGTTTACAGTTAGTAAAATATTTATCAGGATTCCCGCGAAGTATTTGTGACGTAAAGAATTATATATTTTTTTTAATTAGACTGGAGTTTGTAAAATCACGGTTACCATAACCGTGATTTTAGAAACGCCATTTTTGTTTTTGTGTATTACAAGCGAGTTGAAAAGGGTTGTCCCAATGTAGGTCTCTTTTATGCTCGTATATGCGGGCTTTTAGATTTCGAGGTGTTTCACCAGTGTAACTGTTTTTACAAGAGGCGTTGGATTTATTTTTCTTCCTAATTATATCTTTCATTGTCTTGGTGGTAAAGACCCTAGTATTGGTGATAACTAATTTATTTTCAAATTTTGTAGATATAGTGTTAGAGGGTAGGATTATAAATTTTGTGTTGTTGGTGTTAAAAGTGATATCGCTGGTGTCTAATTTTTTGGATTTGTGGATTTTGTATGTTCGTTTTCTAGCGTTAAGGATGAAATGAGGTGGGTGGTGAAGAAGTCTAAATGTTTTTCAATGTATTTTCCTTCTTCACTTAGGTATTCTGGGCTAAATATTCTAAGGGTAAAATCCTATGATTAGTCCTGATTTTATTTTTTGACTGCGGTAGGAAGAGAAATAGATCGTTTTTATTAGTGAGTTTGCGGTAAACTGTAAAATCTAATTTGTCATTGTTACGTATTAATGCCGAGGAAAGGTAGTGATTTGTCTATTTCAAATTTATATGTAAACTGGATGGTAGGTTCTACATTACTAAGTTTCTTTATTATTTCTATTAGATTTTTATTGTGAGCATATAATTAAAGGTTATAATAAATATTATGATAGATAGATAGATAGATAGATAGATAGATAGATAGTTGCACCCGTTTTATAGCATATTTTGTTTGATTAATATATTCTAATAAATATTGGTAAAATATCCATAATGTATTTTAACAATTTAAATGTAAAAATCTATTATAATTAAGAAATAAATAATTGCATTAAAAATTCATTTTTCATCGAAAAAATTTTTTGCTTTCAGAAAATGTCCATATTCATAAAAACAACTAAAAGCAAATAAAAACATTTGAAATTAAATAATATCTTTGTTTTATTGAGTTTTGTATGTTACAATTCACAGCTGATTTTCAGGTAGGTGGGGTCCAATTAAAAACAAAAAAAACATGATTTGCATTCCTCAAAGCCTTGTGTTTTTAACTATTGTAATCACTAAACCCGATGCGATGGAATTTCTAGCGTTTTCATAAAATTAGTTATGGGGGGTAATAAATATAAAAAAAATATTTTTGCCTTGACTTTAATAAAAAAAACATATTTATAATAATTTCGATCATCTGTGAATAGTTCCTGAAAAGTTCATTGACATCTGACAATTATTTTTATTTTTGCAAGATTTTCCAACTTAATGTGTGTCATACCAAAAAAACGCGCTAAAAATTATCTGTTATTTTACTAGTTCCGGTGATACAAAAAGAAACAAGATTTTTTAATCAAAATTTAGAATGTTGTAAAAAGAAGGAAATTTTTTTAAAAATAATTTTTAAAAAAGTTTGGTCTTTCTTCTTAATACTAACATAAGTATTTAGACGATAAAATTTTGTTTTCGGCAAGGTTGGCACCTTTTTCATCAAGCTATGCTCTTTTTTTAGCGATTTCGTGGAGGTACCTAAAAGCGTTTGTTTCAATGCCTATAAACACGTTCTCTGAAGACGATAGTCCCAATCAAACATGGCTCATGAAAATTATTCAATATGTGAGTATTCTGCTACTGTACTCCTGCATCTGACTAAATTAAATTCAGTACATATCTTAACTGCCGCTTACTACAGAATGATTGTTGATGTGCTTGAGTCACAGTTCGTTGTTCGTAAGTATGATTCTCCCATCTAATGGTCTTGTTTCAGTCAAAATTGAGCTTTATAAAGATCGATTACATAATACATGTTGTCATTTAAATAAGTAATATATGCATAGGATGTGCGGGTAACGTAGCGGTTATCAGAGGGGAAAATGGAATCAACGTGTTGAATTCAAATTTCGTTCTGAATAAAGATGGGATACAATAGTCTGCGTGTAAATAATGTAAATAATGATAATACCTCATTTCAGGAATTCACACTAAAATTCGACCTGATCTGTTTCGTTCACTTCATACTCATAGTTTTGGGAAAGGCATGAATGCCAACTAGTCTATGAGAAGGAAGACTTTCTATTGCAAACCATAGAGAAGGCAGTAAAGTATTCTACTACTTTTCTCAAGAAGATATGACAATTCCTGCATATTAAAGAAAGCTTTGAAGAGCTATGGTCACTTACGTCGTGAAGGGATATAGTAATTAAAAATATTTATAAAGCACTTTATAATTAATTGTTTTTTTTTCTTCATATTTGATTCATTCTCTCTCTGTCACTCTCTCTTTCATTCTCTCTCTCTACCCCCCTCATATATTTATATACTTCTGTTTGTGTTTTTGTCAACTATCAGACTTGCTCTCTAAGTTTCTGATAGAGAAAGAAGACGTTAAACATGAAACACTCATAAATAGTAGCGTCTGTTTCACATTTTGAAATATTTTCTTTGAGCAGTTAATGGATTTTTCAACCCAACTCATATTCTTATCACAATAAACATTATGTTAATGGGAAAAAATGGTTGAATAGATTTATATACAAACAGTAAAATTAATGTCTACCAGCCTAGATTTTTAAAAGTCTTGCCGAATTTTACCTTTTCTTTAATAAGACATTCGATTATCTAGACCGGTGGACATTAATTTCACTGCTTGTAAAACTACATTGATGTATACTCAAACACATAAACCCACTAAAATAACATTTATAGCAATAAGAAATATTTTCTTTAAAATAGACCACGTTTATTTCACTTTCTGTATTATTTTGAAGAAATTAACTTCTTTTCAATGTCGTATATATTTAAGAACATAATAGCAAATTATTAGTAGTGAGCCTAACAAGTCAATTTATATGAAATTTCACCCGTAGATATTTGAAAATATTTTATTATAAAAATATTTATTTGATCTTTTTATAGATATCTTAGAATCATGGAAAATTTGAAACATGCTCCTCCTAAGCTTAGCATTGGGTTTCGTCAAAATCTCACTCAATACATTGAGAACAGATACTAGACATTGATTTCAGACAATGACAGGTAAAATGTCTGAAAAATCAATTTGGTCTGTATTGTCAAGATAAATGGCTCCAACGAACATAATTCACTAAATTTATTTTCATTATATTTTACCGGAAGACGTTGTCAATAAATCATCTTTAATGGCGCCTTCTGTGAGTTGATTATCATTTTAACGATTTCTCATATCGAATGCGCATGCGCAATTTTAGGAAATTAATTCCGTTGGTTTTTTAATTTATTTTATGTTTTTTCCTTAATCTTTGTTTTCTTTATATTTATTTTTAAAATTTTATAGGTTATTCTAATTGTTGTCTTGCTTCTTTTTTAAGCTTCAATGTTATTGACAGTTACGACAAGGACACTGGCGAATAGACTAAAATATGAAGAGGTCACCGAGGCGTTAAGAAGGGAAAAAGCAAAGATATTAAATTTGTAGAATAACAGAAACCCACTTATGCATGTACAAAATAATAACAAAAAAGCTCATTTAGAAGAAGAAGAAGAAGAAGAAGGAGGAGGAGGAGGGGGAAGTTGAGAGGGAAGGAGAAGTACAACAACAAGTAGAAAAAAAGGAAGGAAGAGAATGTGGTTAAAAAAATGGGAGAAAGGAAGAAGAAGAGTTCAGTTTCGTATATTTTGTTGCTTTTCGTATTACTTTCTCTTTTACGACCACCCACCAAAGTACTTGTTTCGCCATCCATCTACACAAATTTGTCATATAAATGACTCGTTGCTTTTCTCTTATTTTCTTCGAATCGTCCTGAGAGTTTTAAATTCCAGAAGTTTTCTTTCTCAAAATATTTGTCCCCAAAATATAAGCTGTTTCTTTCTGTTAGTAACAGTTACTTTGAAGTTTCTAACCTCCTTTAAAACTTTATCATTTGTCACATGCCCTGTCCGTGATAGTTCATCGGTTGTACATTAAAAACGAAGTATTATTATTATTATTATTATTATTATTATTATTATAATCTTCACACGTCTTGTTGTCATCGTCGGGAAACAGAAAATAATAGCAAGTCTCCATATTAATTATTATATATGATGCTGCCGAATTTCATGATATTGAAAACTGTATAAGTGATATAGAAGGCCTTAGTCAATTCATATCATTAGAAAATTGGCAAATTCCCGTGATAAAGTGACAAATTTAAAATGTTTTGAATATAATGACGTTAAGAAGGATGATTATTTATTATTTGATACGTTTTGTGTCAGCTTTGCTTTTATTTCCTTTATTTCAAAATATTTAATTGTTTCCTGCAACTATCATTATAATTATTATTCTAATAAGGGTGTCACCATTTTTCCTTTTTATTTTAATATCTTCTTCTTCTTCTTCTTCTTCTTCTTCTTCTTCTTCTTCTTCTTCTTCTTCTTCTTCT